AGCAAGTCTCCAGCCCCTTTTGGGCACTGGTTGATTTTGAAATAGGATATCACATTTTGCCAGGCTAGGCAGGACCACAATCCTCCTCCTTTACATTTTGCCTGTAGTCGGGATGACTACCCCAGTTATTGGTTGAGATGGAGTCTGGTAATCTTTTTGCCTGGGCTGGCTTCAAATACCAATCCTCCCAACCTCCCCCTCCTGAGAAGCAAACGATTCTTTTGAAAGAACTGGGCATAGGGATTCATTGTTGAATAACTGTCATGAGTCAGCTACAGGATACCACATCCTAAGTGCTTTTGTTGTAACTGGTTAGCCTTCCAGCCTCCCGTGAGGGAGCCAGGCTGTGTCTGATCAAGGGTGGAGGGCCTGGTCACATGCTCAGGACAGTTTCCAGCCCCAAATTCTCAGTGGATCCAGAGGGGCTGGAGAAGCATCCTGTGTGCACATGGCTGTGGTTTTATCATCTTGCACTAATCACTAAAGTCAGGAAGACAGATTTTTTTATTATGCAGCAGAATTGCTGCTCTAGAGTAAACTTTGACACAAAGCAATTGTGCTTTTGACTGAATCAGCTAAAACCAAAAACAAAAGAATAGAAAATAGGCCTCTGATAGGTTTCAAGTCTTTGTTTTAAAAACAGCAACTGTCAGATGAGCACTTGGGCATGCAACAGTAACGTATGTCCTTTTTTTTTTTTTTTTTTTTTTTTGGTCGGTTGTGGGCTTGAACTCTGGGCCTGGGTGCTGACCCTGAGCTCTTCAGCTCAGGCTAGCACTCTACCTCTTGAGCCACAGAGCCACTTCCGGCTTTTGCTGTTTATGTGGTACTCAGGAATCGAACCCAGGGCTTCATGCATTCAAGGCAAGTACTCTACTGAGCCACCTTCCCACGTATATCCATTTCTAAAGAATAAGTTTGCCTTTCTTTAGGCAAAGCAAATGGCAACATCAGAATGCCCCAGACCTTGGGGAAGTTTCCAGTGATCGTTGTTACGTAGGGTCATTTGTCTATCTATTTTAACTATCCAAGAATTTTCATATGTTTAGTGAAATATACTAGATGCTTTTTATGCTGGTAGGAATCACACCAGCTTTATAGTCTAGAGTTGGATGTTGTTTTTCATAGCAATAGATCTGTGTGTTGTATCAGCAAGCAGAAACATTTAATTAGTACCTGAAATTGATTTCTTGCTCAGTTCACATTTCATTGCGAGAATTTGGGGATGACCTCCAGGGAGTGCCCCAAGCAACCAGACTTTCTCTACTCCAACCAGTAGATCCAGATGAAAAGCTAGAGAAGGAGGATTACCTGTGAGAAGTTTTTATTGGCCAGGTCTATGTATGTATTATTTATATCCTCTTCTCATTGTTCCAACTCAGCCCTATGGCCACCCCTACCCGAAAGGGCATCTGGTAGATTTAGCAGAGCACTATTGAGATAAGAAGGAAGCGGGGTTTGATGAACAAATGGACTTCTAGATGGGGTAAGTTGAACATCATTCTGTAGTATGGTGAGAACACGCAGCTGGAGACATGTCTTCCTGGCTCATTGGTAGAATACCTACCTGCCAGGCGGGAGGCCCTGATCCACCAAAATGATTTTAAAAAGTGATTTTCATATGATATATTTACAGCTATACTTTCAGCATTAAGTTCTTGATAAAATAAAGGAATGGGGGCTATGTGCTTGAAGGGGGATCTTGATCCCTTCCAGGTTGGGTGAGGAGATCAGTTGAGGCAGAAGCTATCATGATAATCTGATCGAGCCTGAGTTAGTGTGGCTACCTGAGGAAACGTGTTCATTTTTAGAAACAGAAATGTTTTGCTTCTGCTATTTTAACCATCTTAGCTTTTGGCATAGTCAGAGACTGTAGTTTCACTGGAGTCCCTGCTGAATTGAGATGGTAGCAGCAGGTTGTGAGCACTGTGCTCCTCAAGAAGGCCTGCCCGTCCCTTGCACACACTGATTGCACCACAGCCGGGGACTTGAGCTCAGCCACCACCCTGCAGCCCAAACAAAATAAAACCTGACGAAACCAGCAAATCCAGACTGGAGTTCAGGTTACCTGAACAGACTTGAGAAACACAGGCTGCAGTTGTTTTACGTTTGCAAAATTTGCTCTTTGACCTTCTGGTAGGGAAAATTCTCAGAGTCCATGCAGCCTTCTGCCAGCTTTCCAGAGCGTGGGACAAAGTTAGCGCTCTTGGCAGTGATATCGCAATATTTAAAAATTTTGTAATTTTAAAATATGCTTGAAAAATAGATACCGCTCCAACAAGCACAGAGAATATTGACCCAAAGAACGTGGTCTTTGTGCATCGAAGAGAAGTACTACCCAGGCATCCTGGTGTGGCTGAGGTCTAGGGATTTCAGGAACTCCTGTACAGATGAATAGCTTTGAAGTAACTGCTAAGGGTAGTAGCCGCATCCTGTCCTCCCTCTGAATCTCGATGTGACTTGCGTGTTCCATGCACAGGTGATGGCCGAACTCAGGGCCTGCCCAGCCTCAGTTACCCACCTCTGAAGTCTGTGGCAGGTCTCCTAACTATAAGATTATGCAGGGTTGAGAGAGAAACCTCAGAACAGCCTGGGGAGGCTTGAGAGGTATTTTAAAGGGTCCTTGCTGATCTGGAAGTCATAGGAAAAAAAACAACTGAAGAGCCTTTTGTGGTCATTTTTGCATGTGCGCTATTGGTTTGGGGGAACAATCCAGCATGAAAGAGGCTTAAAAATAACAAGTATTTAAAAAGACATATAACACACTCTGGCTTTGTATTCTTGCCCACCAGAAAATAAACTGTAATAATAAAATAGAGAATGAAAAGGAATAGCAGAAACTATGGGCTGCTAGGAAACTAGTGGAATGCTAGGCTGGGAATGAATAGGAGTCTTTTTATACTTTTATTTGTTTTTTATTTTATGGCAGTACTGAGGATTGAACTCAGGGCCTCATGCTTGCTAGGCAGGTTTGAGCCACACCAACAGCGGCTTTTTGCACTGGTTCATTCTGAAGTAGGGTTACATTTTATGTCCTGGCTGATTTGGGCTGTGTGAGAAATGGCTCTGGCTATTGGGGTCTCCTACGGGAATAAGGACACTAATTCAGAAAGAACTCTGCAAGGTGAAGTTTACATCTGCAGAAGGGTGTACTATCATCCAATAATCTGGCAAGCAAACACAAGGAGCGGACAGGATGCTCCCTATCTATCCCTAATGTAGCAGGCCCGCCCCCTGCTGATTGGCTAAACTCAGGTGTACAATCTGCTCAGGATAAGTTAGTTTGAAGAGGACAGGCTATATTTCCGTAAGGTGACCATGAAAAGATCTTGAGATAAAATTAACATTCTTAATTACTTACACCTTCTGCTACTTTCTTCACTGGATGATCTTGTCTTAGCAGAATAAGGTAATCAATAACAGCCAAGCCACCAGGCTGTCTTTTAAGCAACCCACTTTAATAGAAAAGACAGTTTTTCTCACAGCTGCAGTCCCCCTACTTGTTGCTGCTTGGTGTTTCTGTGATGACAGGCACTGGCCACCTCACCTAGCCACTGATTCATCTTCAAGATGGATCTCATGAACTTTGTTTTGTCTGGGCTGGCCTTGAACCAATCTCCACCTCTCAGGGAGCTAGAATTACAGGCTTGAGCCACTGTGCCCTGCTTGGACTGAATAGGGTTGTGAAGCTTGTGTAGAAAGTGCTGGAGAGGTGTGAGGAGAAGTTGAGTGTTTATCTCACATGGCCTGGGGCTTCTTGAACCTTGAGTTCCCCGTTCCTCAGGCCTCTTGAGATGGAAATTATCCACTCCACAAATGAATGTCCATTAGTTGGTTTCTGGCTCAAATCCTGCAGAAGCCAGTCCACTGAAATTCTACTTACCTACTAATCTAGTTACCAAATTTACTGGTTTCCTTTAAAAAAATAAGGAAATCAAGTATTATTTATAGAGATTGCAGCAATTCATATTACAAGTGACAGTTTTTGCATCAACCTTTCCAGTTTCTTATATGTGAATGAACTGGAAAGTATTTTCTTTTAAAAATTTTCTCTGCCCCATTTTTTTCGAATTTGAGGATGTAGCTTACTGAAACCAACTGAGCCATCAGTGGGCAGGTCTCACTCTGAATTTCAGAGGGAGGAGAGAAATTGGCAGGCAGAGAAAGGAGGATGTTGAGGTCCTAGTAGAGGGCAAAGAGGTGTCGAAGTTTGGAGTATTGGGGAACAAAAACGGTGAAGAACAAGGGTAGAGAAAATATCCAAGTGTTCTGCAACTCACCTAACATTCCTCCAAGGCTCTGCCATTTCTATCAATACCAATAACTGGCTGCTGGAAACAGGCTTTGTGAGCCAATTGCATCCAGTGGAAAGGTCCTTCAGAGCATTCGTTATCAGCCAATTAGCTACTTTCTCTGGTCAGGCCCTTAGCGAGCCACCACCCGGAGGTACCTTCAAACTGTTGTAGACAGTGAATCCTTCCTGGAGGAGGAGGTCTACAGGAACTAAGAAAGATGGGTGTCAGAATGAAGAGGAGAAGCCTCATTACATAGCGGAGGACTCTTCTTGCTTGCTTGCTTCGAGGACGGGTGGTGAAGGAAGCAGCAGTCTGTGGGGACCCCACCTGACCTGGTTTGCCCAAAACTTCCCTGGTTTTAGCTCTGGAAAACCTCACATCTGGGCCACCTTGGATGGCTGGGTAGTCAAGACCACCAGAGCTAGTCGTGGGAAGATGGTAGCAGGTAGGGAGGTGACGCTGTCTGCAGAAAGGTGGAGAGCAGCATGGTCACTCAACAACTCTTTGAGATGGGGAGGACAGCCAAGGTAGACAATGTGCTGGTGGGGGGGGGGGGATCACTTCCAAGGCCCTGTACACACCGCCTAGGGACCTGAGACTCAGAAAGCCCTCACACTGGTTCCAGGTATCTAGCTCATGTAACCCATATGCATTGACTTTTCTAAATGTGCTTTTTTTTTTCTTTCTTTCTCTTTCTTTTCTCAGGGAGGCAGGACACAGTGCGTGAGAGAAGTCTGCCCCATTCTCTCTTGTCCCCAGCACCTTAGTCACACCCCCCCAGGACAGTGCTGCCCCAAGTGTTTGGGTGAGTGACTATTTTCAGGTCAAAGAACGACACAATGTCTTCAGGTTTCTGCACATGGTTTTCTTGGGGTTCTTAAGTTTATGTGCATGGCTGCTTGGGGTTCTGGTGCTTTACCCACTTCCTAGCTTGTTAGAGACCATTGGGCTTGCTATTTCTTGGAGGGGAAGGTGTGGGCAGGGTGTGGCTCCCATGTGTAGTCTCTTTTCTTTGTTCCCGGGATCATCTGTGAGAGCTGGGCACAGAACTGGGCAGACACATGCCATTGGTGGGGAACATATGTTTTTATAGCATGCGAAGTAAACAAAGGCAGGAATGTGGCCTACCAAAACATGCAGGGTATTATGACAGGTTTGGAAGGCGCAGGTCTAATAGTCCACAGGAAGAGGGTGACAGTGTTCAGTACAGACTTGGCATATCTAGGCATACTTTGTATGCCTTTTCTTATTTAATACTCTCGAGAAGCAGTGAAGTTGGTGCTGGTACCACATCATACCGTGCAGGCAGGCTCCCCTAGGATCTCCAAGAATGCTGAGGGTACCCCTTATCACTTCCAGCTATGGATTTTACCTCCTGCCAATTCTCTTGGTCTTTTCTTTTTTTTCTGCCAGTCCTTTGGCTTGAACTCAGGACCTGGGCACTAAGCCCTGAGCTTCTTTTGCTCAAGGATAGTACTCTACCACTTCCCTGCCTGGGTTGGCTTTGAACCACAGTCTTTAGATCTCAGCCTCCTGAGTTGCTAGGATTATAGGCATGATCCACTGGAGCCCAGCTTGGCCTTAGTTTTATTCTCTCTCTCTGTCTCTCTCTGTGTCTCTCTGTCTCTGTCTGTCTGTCTGTCTGTCTGTCTGTCTCATTTTAACATCAATTTATCCTGTCCGTGACCTCCCACCCTTAATTCTTTTAGTGTATGTTGGGTGGATCAAGGTTTATGTAGAAGATTTGACTGGAGGTTTTCGGCAAATGAGAGCGATTATTATACAGAGAAGGCTAATGAACATCATGAAATGGAATCTCAAGCTCCCTGGTTTTTCTCTTCATTTTCTGCTGTTGGGAGAACTTTCTCTGGTTGTCTTTCCTGCTAGTCACCCTAAACACCCTTCTCCACAGTCTTTTCTCCTTCCTCCAATTCCAGAGTGCCAAGTTGATTTAGTTTTCTCGTTGGCAGATGATCACAGCCATACCTTGAAGTCTGATTTCTTTTTATAACCAAATGGGCAAAGTAAGGCATTTTGTTAAAGTAAGATAGTTTTCTTCTCTTTTTAAATTCTACTGTCATTATGTCTAATAGTGTTTACCTTTCCTGTTATGCACATACACACACACACAGACACACACACACACACACTATTCAAGCAAACATGGAATAGTTAGAAGAGCAAAGGGTTGTTTAGATACACCTGATTAAAGACATTTCCACACATGTGTGCTTTCAAATATGTGTGGGTTTGTTCTCCTGCAATGTGTTGAGCTAGAATGGTAGGAATCACCCTCTCTGGGTGCTGGTGGAGGCGTGGGGAGGGACAGGAAGTGGCATCTGGACCTGGCTCCATAGATAACTTGGCTTGATTAATGCTTTGAAGCTGAAGCCCAGGACATGCACAATCAGCTTAAGTTTCCCGCGTGAGTGATGACTGTTGTATTGAATGCAGGTTTTGCTGACTGTTTGTGGTTGTGAGAAGGGACTACACAAGGAATGGTCAGTTTTGGGAAACTTGAAATTCATAATTCCCCTGAGTGAAACCTTTTGGGCTTGGACTCAGCCTCCACGGCATGAAATGGGAATGGCTAATGTTAGGCTGCCCACTATGTCTCCAAACCACTCTCTTGAATGTTTTATCTTCTGCTGGGCTGTAGTGACTCAGATTAAGGTAAGACTTGATGCTCTGTGGTGGTAAAAAAAAAAAAAAACATACACACCCACACAACAAAAGACAGAAAGAAGAAAAACAAACTCCAGGATGCTTTCTAGATGCCCAAATCTTTGTCTAATTAGATGTTGGCTGATTAGGCGTTGATTTTTTTTTTTTCTTCTTAAAATTTTCCTTGACCCAGATTTTTAAGAGCTGAGGGCAGAACTCAGGGCAATTGCTCTTCCACTGAGCTAAATCCCCAACCGAATCTGTATATAACATACCTCTCCCTTTAAAAAAAAATCAAAACATTCATTCTCTTGATAGTCTGATTTTCAGTGGAGAGTCTCATCAAACATCAGAGTACACAGAGTAACAACCAACTTTTCCCTCAGTGTGATCAGACCAGGGTGGGGTCTTATGTCAACCCTCACAATGATAACGGTTATCAACTGTCATTTATTGGGAGTCAGACACTTGGCTAAGAGCTTCATGGCCATAATTTTAGTCAGGGATTATTGAAGCTTTTGATTACTTTTGTTCAGGGGATTAAAAAAATTCAAGCCAGTTCATCCACCAATCAGTGGATCAATCAACTGGGGATTAAAAAAATTCAAGTCAGTTCATCAATTAATCAGTGGATCAATCAGCTGACCACTGGTCATTGTCCATCCATTCATTCAGTCCTCTGTCCACCTATGCAGTAATTTTAGGACACATATGATATAGAAAGTTCTTGGGTCTGGGAAGATGGTAGAGCACTTACCTTGCAGGCATGAGGCCCTGGGTTCGATTCCTCAGCACCACATAAGCAAAAAGAAAAAAGCAGGAAGTGGCGCTGTGGCTCAAGTGGTAGAGCGCTAGCCTTGAGCTGAAGAGCTGAGGGACAGCGCCCAGGCCCAGAGTTCAGGCCCCACGACTGGACCCCAAAGAAAAAAAAGAAAAGAAAGTTCTCTTTCCACTGTGGGAGGAAAGGAAGGGTGTCATATATTCTACAAGGTGAAGGAACCTCTGAGGACAAAATGCAGATCCCAGATCTCCACCATAAAAAAGAGATAATTTTGATTGTGGAGAAAGAAAGGCTTTACACAGAGCTTTATATCTATTTATTTATTTTCTGTCATTTGTCAAAAAAGTATTTGAGGTCATTTAGAAAATAGTTGTAACAGATGTAGATAAAATGTAGGAAAAGGACAACCATGTCAAAATGGAAAAAAAATTACTTAATTGAAGCAGAGCTACTTTGACTTCTTTAAAATCATAAGAGAATCATGTTTAATAAGTGAAAAATGAAATCATGGTTATTTTTATAATAAGTACCAAAAAAATTGCTAGGGACATTTCTTATATCTTATTGTCCTAAGACTCAGCATGCTTTTGACCAAAGTCATTAGAATTAGAGGGGGGAAAATCCATGTGATTTGAGGTGCACAGAGCTTCCCAACAGTTCAGACAACCTTGAAGGGATTTCCTAGAGGGATATTTAGGGACAGTGAATTTTGTATTTTATTGGTAATCCTCTCATTCAGTGTATAAGCTCTCATGGAATGGAAGAGTCTTAGGACTTGGGAGTGTACATATCAGCCTGTGTGGGTTGTGATATTAACAATCATTTTGCTAGAAAATTTTTTGATTGTGTACCTTCATAGAAAAATAGATGGAGGTGGTGAATATTGTAAGGTGACATTGCTGACCCATATTATGAATGCAGTGAGTGGGGCCTGGAAAAATCATACTCAAGGTCATTAGGGAGTTCAAAGTGTAATTCATTGTTATCTCTTGAGGACAAGCACCCAAGTGAAGGTTTCTGCATCTGTACTGGGCCTTGAACTTTACTGATAAGCAGAGAACATTTTTCCTCATTCCCAAAATTGGTATTTTCAACAACTCTTGATTATAAGCATAGCCTTTAGTTTATGTTTATAGATAATTGGAGCCTTTCATTGGGCCTACCGATTAGGCTATGTTGCTATTAATCTTATTTTTCAAGAGGAAAGAGAAGGGTGGATATAAATTTAATTAGTGATCATGAATCATTGGTTTATAAGTCTTTTTTTTTTTTGGTTGGTCATGGGACTTGAACTCTGGGCCTGAGTACTGTCCCTCAGCTCTTCAGCTTAAGACTTGCATTCTACCACTTGAGCCACAGCGCCACTTCCGGTTTTCTGGTGGTCAATTGGAGATAAGAGTCTCACGGGCTTTCCTGCCGTGGCTGACTTTGAACCATGATTCTCAGATCTCAGCTTCCTGAGTAGCTAGGATTACAGGCATGAGCCACCTGGTTTCCCGTGTTTCAGGGAATAAACTCAACTATTGAAAGAGAGGGAGAAATTGGATCTCACACTTTGGAATTGCTCTCCCTTCCTTCCTTCCTTCCTTCCTTCCTTCCTTCCTTCCTTCCTTCCTTCCTTCCTTCCTTCCTTCCTTCCCTCCCTCCCTCCCTCCCTCCCTCCCTTCTTTCTTTCAAAAAAACTTTTGGCCTTTTGTTCATCAGTCATGTGAGGAAGAAACCAAGCTAACTCTGCAGAGATATTAGGTTCATAAAAGATTAGACATTTGGCAGGTAGCGTTAGATTCTTCCTCCACATATGCTGTGAGTTATATCTTTGTGCAATTTCTTTATTGAGACTCTGTGTGAACTTGTTCAGGCCTCAATGAGTTAGCTAATAAATAACAGAAATGTATTTCTCATTGTTCTGGAAGCTGGGACATCCAAGATCAAAGTGCTTTCAGAGTCTGTGTGTAGTGAGGGCCCAAATTTAGACCTAGATGTACTAAGTCTTTATATGATGGAAAAGGTAGCAAAGTCTTTCCTGGGCTTTTTTCTTCAGGGCACTAATCCCCTTGATGAGGATGAATTCACCCTTGTGACCTAATCAGTGCTTAAAGGCCCAATACTATCTGGTACAATCTAATGCTATCTAACACTATGTAATAATGACACTGATTCTATCGAGTACTGTCTAATACTATATAGTACTAACACTATCTAATAATCTCTAGTACTATCTAATACTTTCACATTGGTGATGAGGCTGCCACAGACATTTGTGGGCAAACAAATGTTTAGAGCATAGCAAATATGAATTCCTTAGTCCTTCCTTCCCCTCCCTCTCCCCCCCCCCCCCCCCCCACTCTTCCTTCTCCTTCTTCTTGCTAATTTTAACTGTTGAGTTATCTTGACTTTTTTTACCTCTACCTACCTACCAACCATTAATACCTACTTTGGGGGATAAACATGACACCCTCAAAGAAGTCTTATATGACCTCTTTATTGTCATAGTTCCAGGTTGGCTTGTTTCTAGAACTTACCGTGTTGATGAACTAAAGTAACCTTGTATGAGATTATCTTCTCAGTGGACTGGGAGCCTCTGGAGGGCAGCTTGGGTCTAAGATCTCTTGGTTGGTTATGCTGGACATGTGATAATAACTTGTTGAAACTATAAGGTTAATGATGAAATCTGCTTTTCTATACAGTGGCTAGGAGTTTTCTGGCCATGTCTGATCAGTGCTCTGATTATGTTCACAAGATTCACCTGGTCTTGTGAGAATGTTGAAGAGTTCTGTGTTACAGTTGTTGAGGATACAATAGGACATCCCTGGCTTGTGCCTTGCTTACTCAGTGTTGTCTTTCTGCAGGTCAGAGGAAAGTGTTTGATCTTCCTTCTGGGAGCTGCCTGTTTCGAAGTGATGTCTATGACAATGGATCCTCATTTGTCTATGATAACTGTACCACATGCACATGCAGGGTAAGTTGCTGGGGGTGTGGCCTATGGTGAGAGGGGTTAGGGCTATGATGGAGTTAAGGTTATAGAACTGCTATGATGGTGTTTTATTTAGGGGGTGGGGAATATTCGTGAGCCATTTGACAAGTAAAGTCATATTCAAAGTCACACAGAGGACACATATTATGAGTCACTGCCATCTTCTGGGACCAACAAGTTAGGGCTTGATGATGAGGTCCAATCTCATAGGGACTGCATACAGATCCTCTAACGTCAAACAAGGACCCAGGGCTGTGTGCTCTGTGACTAATTATGTAAGATGAATTCTGTACCACACCTGGTGGTAGAAATAGCTTTAATTGCACTTATGAGCAGAAAAAGTTATAGATTTATTGCTCATCACAAAGATAAACCTGGCTGTTAGAGAAGGGAGTATTTATGTCCTTTGTATCGAGCAAGTGTGACCAAAATTGAACCATTGCTTACTTTTCTCAGAAAAGCAGCCGAAAGTTTAATTCTTGATGAGGGAAGGATCTAACTGCTGCAGAAGTTGAATAGAGTATACACCACACATTTGTTGAGTGTACTTATGCAGTGGATTATATTTAACAACTAAAATATGGGCATTCATCACGGAGAGCTTTGGGGATCTCTCATTAGTGAGTTAACCCAGACAATTGTTTGACATGAATATCAAATAATTTATCTTGGTGGTGGTGAAGATGGTTGTTTCTCATAGCTTAGGCGAGGGAGAGAAACTATGGGCAGTGACAGTAGGAGTCGGTAGCTTGGCTTTGTTGAGGAGCACACTCCACCTCAGGGTGTGGTCAGGGACCCAGTGCTCCCCAGCTCTGATTGCTAAGAAATTCCCAGTCCTAAGAATGTCTTCCTGAGGTGCTTTGTCCTGCCCTGAACATGCACCAACTCCCTGTGTGGGACATGGCCTCCATCCCCAGGGCTTCTCCTTCACACCATGAACTTCCTGAGTGTGCACAGGGGAGCCCCAGGCCTCTGCTGATGCACACTGCAGTCCTGATCTCAGGGCATCAGGTGACCAGTGAGTGGGGCACTAGTCACGCACGGATCACTCGGGGGTCTCAAGGCCTCTGTGAGAGATAATAGAGCCAGGCATACCTTGTACTTGGGAAGATCTGCAATTAGTCATTTCCCTGAAAGCGTGGTTTTATCAGAGCACAAATTCATAGCCGTCTTGGGGGAGAATGGGTACTCCAAGCATCAGACAGTAATAATTTGGGGCAGTCGATATTATTTTCTGCCTGCTCAGTACTTTCTCTCTCCAGAATCTCCATCCAGTGCCTTCCATGATTTCCAGGGCAGGTGCAGGAAGCCATCTCCTAGTTTTCTGAGCACAGTCTTTGGTCTATGTTCAGATTCAATGATCTCTCTGCTTGTAGTCCCCAATTTTATTAGCCACCTTTGCTTCACCCACAACCACCCATCTTGGAGGCCACCTTCTCCAGGAATCCGCAGTCTTTTAATGCCTTTGCACTCGTATTTGCTGTTTTAATTAATTGCCTTTTATTTGTGTACAAGGCTACCTCTCTTGCACCTTGAGGGCAGACATGCTTCATCCATCTCGATATTCTCATTGCCTAACACAATGCTAGGCACATAGTCCCACAGATGAGTATTTGTGTAAATGTATCTCATGTGTGTGTATCTGCGTGGCATATGTGTGTGCCTTCACATATGCCTGGGAAATCTACCGTTAAATGTGCATCATTTGAGAATTAGTGAATGTCCTTTCATTCCAACTAGGAATCAAGAGACGTAGCTTGACCAAAGATTGTGGGATTTTTTTTTCCCTTATGATTTATGAGTTGGTTTATGATCATTTCTTTGTGTTTTGCATTTTACATATTAGCTGTATGTGAGACTGAGAGATGAGAGGTAGAATATCACTTGTTTAAGTTGTCACCCCAGAGGTTAAGCAGCCTTGCCAAGGTCATAGCTCCTGTGGGAGGATTTAGAACTCAGGTTCCAGTTTTAGAATCACTCATTCCCTTCCTTTGTGAGCGTGGGCAATTTCATCTTGAGGGTAGATAGCCTTTAATCTTTACTCTTTGATCAAGCTTGTCTGCCTTTATGTTAAACTCTGAAGGGCAGCATAAGGCAAAAGAAGAGACCTGAGAAGGGCATGTTCATGTATAATGAATAAGGACAAGGGAACTGGGCTGGTCTAGAGTGAGCTGAGCTTTCTTGCCACACGCTGGCAAGAGGTGACCAGCGACATGAGATGAAGTTACTGAACCCTTGGAAGGCTGGACATGCGGCTCATGCTGGCTATGGCTCTCTCGTAGTCTAGTGTATGTTAACCAACAAATACATTTTGAAGTGCATGTAAGGTTTATGGCAGCACATTAAAATGTGACATGAGAGAGGAAGGTTTAGAGCCGTCAGCTATAGGTTGGGAAGGGAGGGCCAGCTGTGCTACTTTGTAGAGCATCTCCCTTCATTTGTAATATGCTTGGGCCCCCAGGACTCCACTGTGGTATGTAAGAAGAAATGTACCCACTCTGGCAGCTGCGCCAGGGGTGAGGAGGCCTGCTGTGAAGAATGCTTGCTACGAGTGCCCCCGGAAGATGTAAAAGTGTGCAAGTTCGGCAACAAGATTTTCCGGGTATGTCAGGAGGCAAGCTCTTGGGAGCCTTGAACTAATGTGATTATTGAAAGGTTCCTGCCACCGAGCAGATACATGTGTGGCTGTCACATCTTTGTTTCTAGCACAGTGTCATCTATACTGCTGCATTTAGAATCTAGGACAAAGGTAAGGCAGAGAAGCAACGGTGTGAGAAATGTGTTTCCTTGGCTTTATGCTCACGTACATATGGAAGGTCTGCACTGTATTATTACTTTTTCTAAATGTGGCCAGCCAGTGACTAGGGCTAAACTATTGTCATGGCCAAGGTGCCCGCCTGTGCCTAGAAGCACCTCATTTAGTTGGGGACTCTGGTTCTTCTCATTGAGACAATGGCTCATGTCAAGAGGTTGATATGTTCAGAAGCATTGAATGAAGACTGCTTGTGGGGAGAATGTTTGCCGTTGGGAAGATGTTCCTGTAGAGTACTGCAGAGTACTGAGCAAAAGGGAGAAAGTACCTTCAAGAGTCCTCTGTGGCCATCCACTGCCTTCTCACATGTTTTATTGGGTTTCTCACCATCCCACATGGGAAGCTGGGCAGTGACCATGTAACCTGGGCCTCCCATCTCCCATCGCATTTGTTCTCTCAGAGGGAGACAGCTACTGCATCCACAGGTGCCTTCGCAGCACACCTCAGCAGATCGAGACCTTCGGCAGTGAGTCGGACGTGGAAGCCCCTCAGACCTTCTATTATAGGACACAGGCACAGATGGTGGCGAGGTTTAGGTTCTCAGAGCGTCTGTAAGCAGCTGTGACCCACCACACCTGGCAACATGCCCCACGCAGTGCTTCCATTCTCTTTACACAAAGTTGTCCCTTGTCTCCAGAAGACCATCACAAAGTAGCCGCCCCTAAGGACGATTTCTTTTTATTTTTTTTACAAAGCACTTTTATGTCACCATGTAAAAGAATCTTCTTAGCTAGTGACCAGAGCTTGAGATAGTTACAGAGACACAGTGGTCTGGAAATGTACGCTCAGCGTTGAAAGCACCTAGTTTCCTTTGAACATAGATTCAGGCAGGTCATTCTCACCTGAATAGACGCTAGGATGCTCCCAAAGAGTACAGGAAGAAGAGGATGAGGAAATGGGTACCATAGGCCCAAGGAAGGGATTCTTGGTTTGTCTTCAGGCCCCATTTGGTTGTTTGTGGGGGCTATTTTCAGCCCACAAGCATGGAGGCACCTCTGTCTCTCTGTCTCTGTCTCTGTCTCTCTCTCTCTCTCTCTGTCTCCTTTTCCCTCTCTTCCTCTCTTCTGTTCTGGCTCAGCACTGAGCAATTGCAGATCCACAAATCCAATGAGCCCAAGGAATTCCTCAAGAAAGTCTGAGCAAGGTATTAGTCTTGGAAATATGTGCCAAAGTGCTACCATTCTGTGAACATGGGAGAGAGTCAGGCAGGCAGGCCGGCCGGCCCGGTGCTCCGTGGCTATTCTGTCTGGGCTCTGATCACATGTTTGTCTGAATCATGGAAGTCAATTTGAGTTAGCCTCAGTTCTTTTCCTGACCAATGTGGACTAGCACCCTGGCACATCTGAGAATAAGCAATTCTTACCTGTGGATATCTCAGTTAGTAGCTGGCGCCTGTAATGACCCAGCATTTTAGTCCTGTGCAGAAGAGAGAAGTGAGAGTTTTGTTACTGCATCACATTGTTGTGTCATACATACTGTCTTCTACATGTGAAAGAACCTGTGCATTAAGAAGGAGCAAACAAACAGGGCTTGGTTAGACACAGTATAATTCTCCTTATTCCCTGGGAGGGGGGCACACACACACACACACACACACACACACACACACACACACACACACACACACACACACACACACACACTCACACACACACTCATCTTGAAATCCTCCCTGATCTTGATGTCAAATTGATCGCACATAGATGGGCACTTTTGATTGGTTGTTTCTAAGCTGGCATCGACCTGTTCCGCTTGCAAAGCGATCACAGTCGATTGGCTTAGACCCTGCCGCTGTGGCTGACTGCAGATTTCTGTGCTGTGTCTCGAAGGATGGAGAGATGTGGTCCTCAGTGAACTGCACCATCTGCGCTTGCGTGAAAGGCAGGACGGAGTGCCGCAAGAAGCAGTGTGTCCCTGTCAGCAGCTGCCCACAGGTAAACTTGGGATGTGGGTGGACTTCCTCCTTGCCTAGTGTCCTGTCACATGACATCTCAGAACACAGAATCAGAGCCCCAAGTTTCCCAGTCCTGATGAGCCACATGTCCGAGGTCCTTTTTTTTATTCTCGCAGTCCTCACCCAGAGTCTAGCCTTCTGAAAATACCTTTTGTCCCCTACCTCTTCTTGCCATCTCCCAAATTTTCTTTTTTTAACGATACTGGGATTTGAACTCAGGGCTTCACACTTGATCCACAGGTGCTCTACCATGTGAGCCATGCCCCATCCTATTTTCTTTTCTGTGTTTTTTGGATAAAGTCTTAACATTTTTGCCCGAGGCCAGCCTGAACGGTGTGATTCTCCCACCTATATTTTCTAGTAGCTGGGCTTATTGACATGAGCGATACCCAGATTATTGGTTGAGATAGGGTCCTATTCATTTTTATTCCCAAACTGTCCTCAAA